TGTGTCTTACTGGTTGCCCCTCCAGCATGAATACCATTATGGGTCACACACCAAAGCTGGAACATCAGCACAGGACAGGCTGCAGACGCTGTGAAGGACTGAGTCATGGGGGCTACACCTGGTGGGAGAAAACACAACTCTTGGCTGCATGCAGAAAGAACTCTAGCTCTACACCCCAGTGGGAAAGGCAAGCCGATCCTCCCGAAATAGCCATGCTGCCTTCAGACCCACATTTCCAAAGTGTGCTCCAGAGATATTAGTCCTCCTTGAACAGTGGTTCCCAAACTAAAATCACATGGGCAGCTAGGTAAGGCAACAGCTGGGTTCCCTGCCTGAAGAACCACGAGCAGGCACAGAGAGGCAGCGGTGGCACAAGCTGGTAAGTTTGAAGTCAGCCTGGGTTACCCAACAAGTTCCAGACCAGCCTCTGAAACAGCTAGACCCTATCTCAAAACATTAGAAAGAAAAAATAAATGTAAAAGACAGAAGCAAGTACAAAATAATAAATAATAATGGGCTCTGAGGAGTCTTCCAAAAGAAGGCCTCTTATCCTCATGCTTTTCAATGAAAAGCCAGACAGCTGTATTCTGCTTAGACCTAAGATGATACCAAAGGACCACCCAGTTGTTACATGGTGATTTATTTATTGACAATGGGTAAACAGACAGACACTAATGACTGGTGGTGGCAAAGCCATGAGGAACATGACACTGTAACCCACTCTGTGACCCATCACATGTGATATGGTGACAATGTAATAACCTGCATGAGCTATGCAGTACAGAAACCCTGTACTGTCCTACCCTATTTCCTGGATCCCACCATGTCTCTGGTAAGGTTGTTTTTGAGTGCGTATGTGCACCATCATTTTGAGACTAGTGTTTGTAGATTGAGGTAAGTCCTATTCAAACAAGGGAGAATTTCTACTGATACCATACACACACACACACACACACACACACACACACCTATAGAAAACAAACTTCTGAGAGATCCTAAAGTGAAGAAAAAATTACTGGACAATAATAACTTTAGAGACCTGCTGTGTAAGACACTGGCCACAAGCCACACTTATATCTTCATGCTACATTTATTAGCAGGAAATTCCATTTTCCCTCTGCATTGGTCACATTCCAACTGCCCAGCAGCACCTTTGGTGCAAACAGAAATTTTGGCCATCCTCACTGACAGCACTCCTGGACCACATTGCTGTCAGCTCACTGGAAATATCTAAACAATTCTAGGCACTGGGCTGGCTAGTGTGTTGTTTTCCAGACAGCCTACAATCCTGGTTTTCTTCAAACTGTGGGAAATCCACAGGCCAAACAAGCATCCTCACTGATCAGCAAGCCGTAACTGCATCATAAAGGTGGAGGCTGGGGAGCTCCTCCGAGCACATCCTGAGTTCTGCAGAGACACTCACTTTCTAGTCTTTCCCCTCGTTTGTCAGAATAGACTACCAATTCCATCAAAAAGGGCCATCAACACCAAAACAGCATTTTGTCACTTGGCTGATTGGCACTTCCTTAATCTTTTTAACTCTTTGACCTCAACAAACAGCCACAGTTTACCTAGTATCTGGTGACTTGGTCTTATAACACTGTAGTCAGCGCTTTGGGGCCATCTGGTAAACCAATTAGGGTTCTTTTCAACACAGACTCAGTAGTGCTTCATGTGCCCAAGTTGGCAATGCTACTCACAAGACCCACACCTTTCCTTTCACCCTTCTCTCTTCTCCCCTCCCTACCCATTTTTACTGGCTTTGGGGGAAAGGCAAGTTTAGACTCACAGCAAAACCAAGAAGAACAGAGTTTCTGCGTTCTTCCCTGCCATAAATACCCACCCCCTGTAGCAGAGAATCATTTTTGACACTGGATGACCCCGATATTATTTTATAATTTTTATTCTCTTTTATGCACATTAGTGATTTGCCTGTATGTATGTATGTATGTATGTATGTATGTATGTATGTGTTTGGTAGCCGCAGCGGTCAGAAAAGGGTGTCGGATACCCTGAAACTGGAGTTGTCGATGATTAAGAGGTACCGTGTGGGAGATGGGAACCGGACCTGGGTCCTCTGCAAAAGCAGAAAGTGCTGTTAACTTTCTGAACTATTTCTCCAGCCCCATTGTTACTTTCTATCGGTTTTGACAGTAGGTAACAACATGCATCCTCCATTTCAGTGTTCTACAAATAATCTCCCTGCCTTAAAAGTCCTCTTGCTCCATCTACTTATCCTGCTCTCTCCTCAGTCCCAGAACCAACCCTCCATTCTTTAACAGCCCTGTTTGCTGGGGCTGCTATAGCTGCCCCATCTTCCCGAGCTCAAGCTCAAGTGGCTTCCACCGTTCCGCAGACGGATTTGGCAAGAGTTGGCGCTGCTCTGGACTCCAGCTGCGGCTCTTGGGCAGTAGGGCTGCGCTCTGGCGCCCTCCAGCCTCTCCCTAGTCCCCATGACCTCATCCTCCCTGCCGCCAGGCCTCTCAGCCGGAGCCGACAGCAGGAGCATCATCGCTGCAGATTTTGTTCTGGGATTCGGATGTTCATTCTTTTCTCAGGATCCCCCAGGTTGCTCAGACAGAGTGGCTGCCAGTCAGCCCCAAGAGTCCTGGAATTTGGCCTCAAACCAAGTTTGCCTGGGGCCAATATTCTGCCTCTCCCCATCCCCGCTGGCAGTCAGAGAAGAAGACAGCGAAGCGCCTTGGCTCCAGGAACAGAGTTACAGACTTGTGTTTTAGTTTCTGACTTTCTTTAAGACGTTGGAACTGGCTCTCCATTCTTCAGGTGGTAGGTGATCCACGGGGCTTCCAGAGCACGCAGAAGTAGGGCTTTCTCTACACTCTGTCTAGACTGTGCCCAGCTACTGTGCCTAGCTGCGGCAGAGTCTGCCCTTCCTGAATAGGGGTTTTTAGCTGGACACCATAGTCACCCTCGATAATGCTACGTCCCCACATTTCCAGGAGAGCTGGGTGTGATTTAAGGTCTGGTGTTGAGAACTGTGCAGAAAAGGAACCGGAACTTACCCCACTTCTTCAGCCTCTGCCTGGTGTGAAACCCGATAGCTGAAATTAGAGCAGCCCTCTTCGGCTCCGAGGTGACCCTGAAGGACAAGCTATAAATAGTAGATGACTAAATAAGGCGAGGAGACGGGTGTGGAGGTATTCCCACCTGGTAGAGTGCTTGCTGGTGGAGAAGGGAAACGCCGGATGAGGTGACACAAGTGTACTCCCAGTGTGAGCCAGGGAGAGACAAATGGGTCCCTAGGGCTCGCTGGGCAGCTAGCCTAGCCTATTCCTTGAGCTCCAGTCCAACGAGATAGTCTCAAATGGTGGACAGTGCCTGAAAATGACACCTGCAGCTGTCCTCTGGCCTCCACACGCTCATTCAGACACACACAAATAAAGCCTACACCCCTAACACCAGGAAACCCACACTGGCCCTGGACCATCTTTCCAGACTTTTTCCTATGACAGAAAGGAACCCCAATTAGTTAAGCCACTTATCGAATGTCTTCTCTGGAGTGCCTTCTATGGTTACTGGGAGATAACCTTAATGCTAACACGTGTGCATACAGTATTAACAGCAATCTCCGTAAGAACAACGGCTAAAGCTCTGAATGGCTCTTGTGTCCTTGGTACTGTTCTCGGCACATCAAATACAGATCCTCCCTAAATGCTCAGCATAGTCCTCCAGACGGATACTGTACTCACCGCTCACTAGTGAGGGTTAGAAAGAGTAGGCCTCTGTGTAAGGCGATCTGTGCATAAAGGTCAAGAGTTGGACTCAAATCACTGCTCCACAGACAGGAAGAGCTAAGACCAGGATTTACGACAGGAGAGAAGCACCACAGGCAAAGGGACAAGGTGACCCAATAATACCCTATCTTTTTTTTTTTACATTTTTTTATTTTTAAGTTTAAATTTAGATAAGAAACGAGGTTGCTTCACAAGTCAGTTCCAGGTCCCTCTCCATTTCCCTCCCCTTCTCCCGTGCCCTCCCCCCAAGCCCCCCCAAGCCCCCCCCATCCCCTCGTTTCCCCAGGGAGAGTGAGGTCCTCCATGGGGGATAACACCCTGTCTTAAACTTTGGGAGATACACAGCGCTCTCAAGGCTGTCAGTAAGTATAATAAGCTCTCAAAGGACAGAGCAGAGCACCCAACTTCAAGCAGCTCACAGCTTTAACATTGCTGTACTAGCTTTCTTTCAGTGCAGGAACTACCAGAGGAAAATTGCAGCGATTCTCCAGATGATGCCCAGGGAAAACCATAGAGTTGCTGATAGTGGAGGCCAACGATGGAAGAAAGAAGATGCAAAGCTGGCAAGATGCTCCTAATGCCATCCTTGGAGCACCTAGATCCAACGTCACTCGAAAGCTTGGCTTTGCAACACCGACGTTCACTAAGCCCCTTTGCATCAAGTTTTTGCCACTTGCGACAGGGTCTTGGTTCATGTGTACATAAGCAGGCTTTGGAAATTGGCCAGTGGGTAAGAGTCGAGAAGATGTTGCTGCGTTTGAAGTGATTTCTGCCAAGTTTAAAGAAGTCAATCTAATGGGTTACCGTAGGCGAGCAAGAGCCGTTGAGCTTTGAGAGCAGGAAAGAGGGACAGCATTGTGCATGCCTCATGCCAGTGTGGTATCTAGAGTCAGGCAGAGTCACCAGGAAATGTGCCTTCCTTCACAAAGAGGCAGCAGGTGGCCCTTCACCTCACTGCTGCTCAAAAGTCCTGGGGATTACTAAGGTATCCACCAGGCCCTTCCTCCCCTGAAGGGAACCCTCCCTTATCAACTCTCACTTTTCAGCTGTGACTCTGCTCCACAAACTGGTTTAGGATGAGGGCTGTTGGGGACCACCTCAGATGCATGGTATTTAATTAGCAGTTATTTCTTTATATAAAATGGGTTCACTGGAGTCCTTTAAGTAGTAGGATTTAGTTTCTTTGGAGATCATACTCAAATTTGCATTGAATTTACTTAAAGTATCCACACTGACCAAAATGGATGAAGGCAGCTATTTTGTTTATTTTGTGTTTGTGGAGCTGGGAGTAGTTAAACCAGCACTCTTCTTGCAGAAAGCAACCTGCTGGGTGTCTACTACAGAGCCCAGTCCAAGAACACGTGTGTGTGGGGGTAGAGGGTTGCTGGCCTTGGTGGGGGAGGAGGGAGAGACAGAGGGAACAAAGGAAGGAAACAGCAGCAGGGTACTCGGGAGAGCTTCCTTCTGTTATCACATGTTGGACACACCCACCCAAGACTGTTCAACTCAGACTTGAACCCTTCTGACGGAGGCTTGCAGCCCCCAAGGCTGCCAGGTTTGTCTCCGTGCACCCCCATCCATCCGCGAGCGCGGATAGAAAGCTTTGTGATGCCAAAGTGCCGGCTCGTCCATGGGTTCTCTGCCTGAGTCTGACAGAAAACAAAATGGGAATTAGACACGTGTGCTGGTTTCAGCGTGAGACAGTTACTCGGTTTAATGCCAAATACAAACAGAGAAGAAGGGGAAGTGTATTTGCCAAGGGAGCCCTCCCCACAGGCTCTGGCGTGGCCCCAGACCATTTGACAAAGAGCCACAAAGATGGCAGGGTCAGAGCACAGCAACCAAATTCCTGTGTGGCTCGGAAGGGGCAAGAGATTTGGCCGCCATGAAAAACATCCTGGTGGCTAAGAAGAGTCCTTTTCACATTGGAGTCTGTTCGTTGCACTTTTTATTTTTAAGTCCTGCCACTTTGCTAGACATTGAAGACTTTGATCCTCAGTGTTAGCCCTCCCCGTGAAATGTGTCTCCCTTGTCTCAATATGCTACCTAACACAGCAGCTGGGGGTCACATTTCACTGCCCTAAAATTTAGCTCTTTGGTCACACTTGCCTCGCTGCGAGGACCCCATGAGGGATGACACAAAACACAGACCTGGAAGATAGACCTGGAAGATAGACCCGGTCTACGCCAGGGCACTCTGACCATGTATTTGCTGATAAACACGAAGGAAACAGGCCTAAGTTTTCAAGCCAGACAGACCCCAAATCTAACCCCAGCCCCTCCCCCATGTCAGCAAAGCCTTGACTGTGTGTCACTGTCCTTGCACTGCCTCCTCCAAATGTCACTCACATCTCTGTTCCTGGTTGGCGCCTTGGATCTGAACCACTGTTGTTTCCCTTTCCTTCCAGCCAGGAAGCTCCTGGGGTACATTCAGCTCAGCTCCATGTACGCATGCACAGCACACAGGCCAGCTAGCTAAGGGCAGAACTTTGGTCTATGTCAGAGTGCATGAAATCACCATCTCTGTGGTGTGGTCAGCAATTCATAGCCTTTCTTGCTGCTTCAGGAAAATACTCCCAACTTGAACAACTAAGAGGCTGATCTGAGGGTCACTTGGAGCATGTGTAGTAGCCCATGCTCGATGAACACTCAGCGGTGGATCAGCACTGTGCTCAGTGTTTATGGATGTTGAGTCTTCAAATAGACAAAGTATCACTTGCTAGTTTGCAAACAAAGACAGTCATTCAGAGAGGTGAGGTGATTTCCCTCCGGGTACACAACCAATGAGAGGCACAGCTGGTAGAACCACAAGCTGGTTCCTGAGACCCAGACAGCAGTCTGGACACTCTTCTGGTTTGCTTCTAATGACACCTAGGTAACAGCGCTTTCCTGAGGTACAGGCCTTGCTACTACTCTCATCCTGAAACTGCAAGTGCTAGACCATATAGCACCAGCAAGACAACCCAAAGATTCTGAACCTGGAAGTTTCAGGCCAAGTGATGGGATGTAAGGATGTTCATGAAGAGTGGAATGGCATCTGGGACTCAGACATAATTTTTCAAAGTTGTTTCTGTCCATCCTGCAGATTTGAACTCAGAGCCTGACACTCCCTATGCAAGTACTCTCCCACTGAGCTACATCCCTGGCCCTCAAAATCAGTTTTTAAAGATTAAAACACACGCTAAGGATTTATTCTCTCAAGATTTTTTTTATTTTATGTCAATCCCAGTTCCCTCTTTCTCCCTTCTGCCTCTTCTTCCCGCTAACTCGCATCCCATCCCCTTTCTGCTCCCCAGGGAGGGTGAGGCCTTCCATGGGGGATCTTCAAAGTCTGCCATCTCATTTGGAGCAGGGCCTAGGCCCTCCCCCATGAGTCTAGGCTGAAAGACAACCCCTCTATGTGGAATGGACTCCCAAAGTTCATTCGTGTACTAGGGATAAATACAGATCTACTACCAGAGGCCCCATAGATAGCCCAGACCTCCTAACTAACACCCACGTTCATGGGATCTGGGTCAGTCCTACACTGGTCTACCAGCCATCAGTCTGGGGTCCATGAGCTCCCAGGTTCAGGTCAGCTGTTTCTGTGGGTTTACCATCCTGGTTTGACCCTTTTGCTCATCACTCCTCCCTCTCTGCAACTGGGTTCCAGGAGTTCAGTTGAGTGTTTAGCTGTGGGTATCTGCCTCTGCTTCCATCAGCTACTGGATGAAGGCTCTAGGATGGCATACAGGGTAGTCATCAATCTCATTATAGGGGAAGGGCATTTAAGGTAGCCTCTTCACTATTGCTTAGATTGTTAGTTGGTGTCATTCTTGTAGATCTCTAGATGTTTCCCTAGTGCCAGATTTCTCTTTAAACCTATAATGGCTCCCTCTATTGTGGTATCTCTTTTCTTGCTCTCCTTTATTCTTCCCCTGACTCAACCTTCCTGCTCCCTCATGTCCTTCTCTCCCCTCCTCTTGTCCCCTTCTCTTTCTCCTAGCTCCCTCTCCCCTCCACCCATGCTCCCAATTTGCTCAGATCTTGTCCCTTTCCCCTTCTCCAGGGGATCATGTATGTCTCTTAGGGTCCTTTCTCTCAAGACTGATGTATGCATTCACTTTGACTTAGCAGTTTCTGATTGATAATTCTAATAGAATACTCCGAAATGGAGCCGTGGAGATGACTCAGATGGCACAGTGCTGTGCAAGCATAAGGCACTGAGCTCAATATCCAACTGTCTCAGTCAGGGTTTCCATTGCTGCAATGAAACACCATGGCCAAACAGCCTGTTGAGGGGGGAAGGGTTTATTTGGCTTATACTTCCACAGCACTGTTCATCACTGAAGAAGTCAGCATAGGACCTCAAGCAGAGCAGGAACTTGGAGACAAAAGCTGATGCAGAGGCCATGGAGGGGTTCTAATTACTGGCTTCTCTCATGGCTTGCTCAGACTGCTTTCTTATAGAACCTAGGACCATCAGCCCAGGGATGGAACTACCCACAATGGACTGGGCCTCTCCCATCAATAACTAATTAAGAAAATTACTAAATCAGGCATTTTCTCAATTGAGGTTCCCTCCTTTCAGATGCCTCTAGCCTGTTGTCAAGTTGACATAGACTGGCCAGCACAGCAATACTCACATGAAAGCTAGGTGCAGTATTTTACACATGCAACCCCAGTGCTGAAGAGAGAGGTGAGACAGGCGGATCCCTGGGGCTTGCTGGCCAACCAAGCTAGCCACATGGGTGAGCTCAAGGTTCAACAAGAGATACTCTCTCACAAAATAAGGTTGAGAATTGTTGAGAAATAATGCTATGCCAATATCTGGCTTCCACACATACACATTTACATAAGCACATGTGCGCCCTCACACACACACACACACACACACACACATACACACACACACAAACGCAAAGAAATTCAAGGTCAACCTTGGCTACTTAGTGAGTTGGAAGCTATCCTGGCCTATCTTAAACCTTGTCTCAGAATAAAACAAAACAGCAGCACAAAGTACTCAGAAATACACATCACAATTTAGCTATGAGGAAATCCATAATAATGCTTGTGAGAGGTAAAAGGAGGGAATGAAAATCAAATATCCACCAGTGGGGGATTGATTAAATAAACAGCATTTCATCCGTAATCTGCAAGATTCATCGTTTGAAATGTTATGATGGAGGCACACATCTAATGGAACCTAAAAGTTTTTGATCCACTTTAATTGGGGGCAGGAACAAATCCCAAAGCAGTATGTCTGTGGTGGTCCAATTTCTGCTAAGGCGTGGCAGAAAGCCCCGTCTAAAGGAAAAGCATCCGTGTTAAGGGCCCTGGTGATATTTTCCCTTGCCCTCTCATGTGCATTGCTATTGTGCCTTTCTAGTATGGTGTGTCTAGTTTTGCTGAGTCCCCATCTTTAAACCCTCCTGAGAAACCATTTCTGTCCCTGCAACCTGCAGCTGGTGGAAGAGAAGTGCCTCCTCTGAGGAATGAGAAGCAGGAACCCCTCACACTGGTGCACACAACCCTTTCCCATTCCTAGGCCAACAATCGGCCTGCCGTTTTTTACGGGCAAGGCTATTTATTTTCCAATCAGAGGCATTGAGTGGGGACTTCTGGGGGAAAACTGGTAGCTCTAGGCAGCTTTGAAGCATCACAAGGGGGAGGTTTTGTCATCCAGAGATTTAGGAGGGCAGGCCCTCTGGACTATTTTATTGGCTTCTTTTACATATGTATAGCTGGGAGCTGGGTGGGGCCATTGCTCGCTCGGGACAGGACCTCCCCAAAGCCAGCCAAGAGCTACAAAAACCAGGGGTAACACTGGAAACTTCTCTTCCTTTCTTCCAAGTAGAATTCAGAGATGGGAAACATGGTCCCCATTAGCAGATGAGGGATAGAAACATAGGCAAATTATTTAATTTCTAATGATCTACAAGTAAATTCAAATAAATGGGCCAGTGGCAGTTGCTATTCCGTTAGAGAAGGACCGGTTACTGTTCCTGCTACGTGCTCATTCAGTCATAACTACCTAGTCTCCTTCTTTCTCATCTGCTCCTTCCTTTCCTCTTCTCTTGCTCTCTTCTTCCTCTTCTGTCCTGTCTTTACTTGTTAACTAGCTTGTCTCCTTTTCCCCTTGGGTGCAGCTAAGAGAGAGATCCTAGCACCAACATCAGCTCTCTCCATCAGTTCTCCAGCTCTCTGGGCCAGCAAGTTTCTAGTACCCTCAGCTGCACACACACACACACACACACACACACACACACACACACACACACACACACTCACACACACACCAGCAGCAGCAGCTTTGAATGTAGTGTGTACTGTGACTCTGGCTTTACATTTGCCTTGACTCAGGCCCGGTGCAGGGACAAATTGGACGCAGAGTATAAATGTTACCACTTTGGCTCCTCCTCAAGAGGCGCTAAGCACAGATGTTTGCAGGGGCAAGCAGGGCCCGCTAAGAATGGGGGCATTGTGTGCGGCCTCACACAAAGGCCCAGTGGCCCCACTCGGCTGCCAGCCTCCCGAGCATCCCCTCTTTACGCATTGATTTATTAGGCTAGGGATGAATGAAAACGTAATTAATATTACTGAAGCATTAGAGTCTATTTAATTTAAATGCCACTGAATATTTCACTTTCAGCTGGGAGTGACAATGTGCTCGGGCCCGGCTGGTGAAAGCCAGGGCCATCTGTTACCCCGGTGAGGGAGAGAGACAGAGGAGGCCTAGAGTGCGGGGGCTTTGTGGACATTCCAAAGGTCCTCGATCATCATTCAACTCAAGGGCAGCCAAACCGCATTCCTCCGCACGAGCCCTCCGCTGGAGGGGCCTCGGTGATCAGCGGGGAAGCTGCAGAAACCCAGGAGCCCAGCGCTGCCCACCGGGAGGCAGGAAACTGCGGGCTAGAAAAGCCACAGGTGCAGGCTCCAGAGGAATGGCGCACAGAAGACCACAACTAAACCGGTGCTGTCCAGCCAAGGCCGCAGCTAGCCCCGTGTGGCTCTTTCCATTAAAATTAAAACCCAATACAATGAAAAACTCAGTCCCGAAGTTCAGCCTGGTTAGCACCTGGACAAGTCAGTAGATGGTCGTATTGTTCTAGCACCCGCACAGTGACAGGGAGAGTCGCCCCCCCCCCAAAAAAATCTACCTGAAGAATCCTGATTGGTTGATGCCCGGGTTGTCTGAGGATCTTGTGATGGTGAGGAGTGAAGCTAGGATGAGAGAGATCCTGAGCGCTCAAAGCCAGTTCCCACCATTGTCCTTGAACCAATCATGTAAGCTCCTACCCAATACGAGGGTGATAATAACAAAACAGGACTGGATACGTTATTGGGAAAATGAGCATAACTGCATATAAAGGCTCTGTATAGGAGCTACACTTGTGGCAGGGCCTAAAGGGAAGAACGATCTTGGACTAAAGGAGACCTATTGCCCTGGTGTATCTAAGCAGAAGGAACATGTGTGTTTTGAATTCAAAAGAATAAATCTCCAGGCATCCAGCTGGGCCTAGATCCTGGCTTCTCGGGTTGGAGGAGGCTGGGAGATCCCCAGCACTCGGTGCAAGCCGCAGCAGTAGCAGCAGGAGGGGGATGTTCTGTCCTTAGTGGGACGATAATTAGCTCGGTGGGTTCTCTCATAATTGGGATCATTTGTTCTCCTGGCCTTTTCTCTGACAAACTGATTCCACGCCAGGGGAAAGCTGTGTGACTCACACCTTGCCATGCCAATTAGCTGATAAACATCAAACGTAAACAAAGATGGCCTAATTAAAACTAGTCACTGAACCTCTGTGAGCATCTTGTCAAAACTGCACCAACATTCCGCACCCAGGCTTGTGCCCATCTTGGGAGCTAAATGAGGGACTCAGGGGAGGATCTGCAGATGTCCCCTCCAGGGGACCCAGAGAGACTGAGGGAGGCAGGCAGAAGGCAAAGGAAGGGTTTAGCTCAGTCACTTGGATCATCTCTTCCCTCTGCCTTCTCCAGCTATAAACTTCTTCGAGTACACCAACTGTTTCCACATATACACGGGCATGTCCGCACTGCCACTCTGCATGGAGCAACACTGCAAGGGTTGGTTTCCTCTCCATGGATAGTTTCTGATGGGGCATCATTTTTATACTTTTGGATATATCTAATCCTGAAGTTCTCAGAACTGTGGGTGAGCTCCATGATTCAATATTCCTCCTGAAAGGGGATAAGAATACTCACCCAATTTACCACCCAAAGTTGTGGTGAGACTCAAGTGATCCTAGCCCCACCTGTGTGCAAACCCTCGGCTCTCTCCTTTGGCTCTTTCCCCCTTATCGCTAAAGTACGCGGAAGTCCTTGCACCTGGAACACACTAGACTACATAATAGCCATCACTTTCATTTCCCTCTCCACGAAATAACTTCTGCAGCTCATTGAGATTTCCTCAACTCTTAAGCCCTGGCTCAAATCTCAATCTCAAATCTTATATCTTACAACCAGAGATATATAACCCCATAGGCCATTCCTTCAATGTACACTGCAGATGTGTTCAAACCCTGGGCAGTAAAGCCTAAGCACCTCATAGATGATTGGACTGTATGGCGAATGTTTGTACCAGATCCTCAAGAATTCAGACTGAGGCAGAACAGAAACTGGCCCTGAATGTTAGTTATTTCATGCCTTTGCAAGCTAATGGATGCTTAGTCGAAAGCATTGACTTCTTCCTACAATCTCCTAGAGGGCCGGCACCTTGTCCACATTCCGCAATGCTTTTTGTGAGGGAATAGAAGGGTAATCAAATCTCCTCTTAACATCAGTGACTTTTTTTCTGCCATCTGTTCATCTGAGCCACAGTGGTCTCTCCAAACTTAAGTTTCTTGGACACTCAAAGACCTGAACACTGTCCATTCTCCCATGCAGCCGGTACCCACTAAGGATCATTCCCTTTATTCTGATGTAAATCCATTTTGTGTTTTTCACCCCCATTAGAACACGTGTTATAGGAAACTAGCCAGGCTTGGTAGATGGCACATACCCTTAATCCCAACACTTGGCAGCCAGGTGGATCTCTGTGAGTTCAAGGTTAGCCTAGTCAACATAGTGAGTTCCAGGTCAGTCAGCACTATGTAGGGAGATCCTGTCCAAAAAGAAAAGAATTATCAAAGCAAAAACCCCCAGGGAAGGAGAGCAATGCTCTCTGCCTGTAGCTTCTCTGATGTTTTTGGTTCCCACCTGTGACACTCACTAGCAATCTTCTAACTGCCTCTACACCTTCCTTAAATTCCTTCTGCCTGAAACTCTCAAGGGACCAAGGTTCCATATTATGGGGCGATAGTGTCCTGGATTCAGTACAAGTTTTGAGACTGCCCCCACCCCCACCCCAGTGCCTAAATTTTTCACCTGTCAGGAGAATGTAATTGCCTGCTTTACTGTTTGTTCCTAGGGTTAGCCAAGTTCCCTCAAGTGCTTGTGGATAGTGAGAGGCCAACACCTGCTAGTAGTTCAGGGTTATGCTTTTGAGTAACGGCTTCTGTTGTCAACCGGTGACCCCAAGCTACTCATCACTAAGGAGGGGGCAAGTGGCTTGTTAGTGACTGTGGGCTGAGTCAGTCCAGCTTGTGGCCGGTTGGGCCTCAAGCTATTTTCTGGACAGAGCTGGTTTCACCAAGTCCTCTTAAAGCCAACAAAAGGATTAGCGTCGCTCCTCTGGCCCCGGTGAACTCCCAGGTAAACAGAGTGGCTGCAGCTCACTACCTGTGCCCTTCAAGTGTGCCACCTTGAATGCGGAAATGCCCACTCCCCGACAGGATGCCGGCCCTGGCCACCACCACTTCCGCCTTCGGGAGCATGCCTGAGAAAGGGGCTTTGTTCCCAGCCTGGTTCTCCACAGACTGAGAGCCACAGGCTGCTGACCCAGGACATCGCAAGATCCTCCCCGCACCAGGAACCCAAGGTTGGTTTTGGCAATAGCCCTTTTTCTAGAACAATCCTTGTGACAATGTTCGGTGTGGTGGAAGGTTTGAGGTTGTGGACAGAACCAGACAGGCCAAGGTTCCAGTCCTTACTGCATCATTACTGGCTGGGTCATTCAGAGCCTCCACGTCCCCACTCCACAGTGACACATTGGCATCCTTTGAAGCACTGGGGAGAAGTCTCTGTAAGTTCGGGGCGGTAGGTAGGAGCCAGCTATCTTGACCTGGAGTCCTTCCTGCCTGGTTCTGGTTTGGCAATAGACTATGCTCACAGGCAGGAAAGTAAGGACCCAGGAGGAGGTGCCGAAGAGACACTAGCTTGAAAGGCAGTCATTTCCCTGTCCCCGGCTGAAGGCACTGTCCCCTCAGATGCACAAACCTGAATCAGAGGGTGATGACCGTGACATTTCAAAAAGGGAAATTGAGGCTTCTGCGCAGGTGCGGGGAGAACTGCCACGTGATGGGGCAGAAGAAGCAAGGAAGAGGCTCAGCTCGAAATCGCCCCACTCCTTCCACGAGCCGCATTGTTTTCCGGGCTTGGGTTCCTATTCAAATGCAAACACCAGGAGGCGCCTTTGCATTGTGGCCCAGAGCACTGGAAGAGATTGACAAGCAGCTGTTGGTTAGTCAGACTGAGTTAAAAGGAGTGGGTGTGGAAGGAAGGGATGTGGAGGACCCGGGCCAGAGCGGCCAGAAGCAATAGAGTTAGCTCTATTCTCCCACCCAAGCTGGCTCTGGTGAGAGGCCAGGGATAACACCCCCTAAGCGCGAGACTGTTGTCTGAGGCGAACTCTGCCCCTGAGGGGCCTCTACCAAGCCTCAACCTCTCCCAAAAATGAGAGCAGAAACGCCTTGCTACTTACAGAGTTGTGAGGATGAGCATTCAAAACTACCTTCCCTCCCATTTTTTTTTCTAGTGTGCTCAGTTACACTTTCCAAGGAAATGGCTTCAAGTCTATTAAAAATCAGAGGACCTAATGCATGACAGTACCTGACTGTTTCCTGGAGTGGAGAGGGCACACACAAAAACTCATTGGATCCAAATAAGGTCTAGTTTAGTCAATACTATTACCAATGTCAATTTGTTCGGGGGGGGGGTTGTTTTGCTTTTGGTGGATGTTGGGGCAGGCTCTTACTCTGAAGTCCTCAAACTTTCTCTCAGTCCTCCTACCTTAGTCTCCTGAGTAATGGGTCAGAGGTGTGCACAATCATGCCCAGCTCCCTCAGTTGGTTAGTTTCAATAGTGTACCGTGGAAAGGGCTCTAGAGAGGGGGACAATAGGACACAGGTGCTAGAAAGAGGAAAACAGTGGTGGGGGAACTTAACAGGAAACATTATTTTACTTAAACACATACACACACACACACACACACACACACACACACACACTAGTTTAAATGGTATTACCCAACCTGGATCAGTAACACTTTCCAGTGCCAGACCACACAGAGCCAGACATGGAAAACATCCCCTTGTGTTGCTGGTCAGAGGGGTCCAAACGACCCCAAAATCAATATAAGCTATTGCCATCACAGAACTTGAAGGTAAGACCCTCTTCCTGAAAGCAACACACACTTTGGGCACAGGAATTGAAGGAATCAAGCAGGAACTGACCTAGAACCCTCCTCCCTGAAGGCTAGTCCTCACAGTATTAGAAGGTGCTAAAAGTAGTCAATAATCCTACCCAGCCATTAAGTCTGAGAAGTACAGCAATGGCCAGTCTAGAAGTGGCTCAATAGTGGCACTTCTGTCTCAGGGGTAACCAACAGCTGTTGAATTGGGTTTAAGATCCACCCAATACAAGGGAACTCATGCCTGGAGTTTCAAACAGTCAGCTACTCATGCCTGGAAACATCATAGACCCCAGAGGAAGCACGACTGCTGACATTTTCCTAAATCGATGTAGCTTCTAACTGTATTATAAATACCTGTCTCTCCACAGGTAAGTGCAGCTCTCACCCTTCACCAAGGAAGCTTCTTTTTGCAGCAGACAGAGATCCACAACCAGTAAAAATGCAGAGAATGGTGATCCTGAGGTGCATAGTCCCAACTGGCACATCTATGACACAACCCTACACATAAGGTTTGGGAACACTGTGAAAGAAGGAGCAGAAAGATTGTAAAAGAGAGAGGACAAGAGGACCAGGAAGCTGGCTGTGCAACAATGTCTTCTAGATATGACAGGAATACTATACCCATGAAACCTCAACAATATGTTTGCCTAACTAAGATCTACATAATGACCGCACAGTCAACGTGCTGGGGGAGGGGGTGGGGTAGGCAAAGCCCTACTAGTAGGTGAAGAGCTACAGGCAGTCTCGTGGCTGCTAAGAGGGAGAAATAAGGTGTGTTTTTTGAGACAAGCCCCCTAATACATTATCTGACACCCATTGATCAACTCTAAATGCATGCACATATGAGGAACACCAAAAGGATTCAGCAGTGTATTTACGTACATATGTGCATATGTATAAATATAAAACAATAATTAAACAAGAGGAGGTCACAGATCTGAAAAGGAGGAAGAGATGAAATGGGGAGAGGGAGGAATGGTAATAATATAAACACTATACTCATGTATGAAATTCTTTTTAAAATGTAAATAAATAAAGTCCAATGATTATGAGAGATTACATTAGAGATAACATTAGAGGTTAATTAGAAGGTAACATATATGAGAATGTTGTGGTTAGAGGTAATCTAGACACCAAACAGGAAGTGGAAACTGGAATTAGTTCAAATATTGATATTCATTAGTACTGTTTATTGTGACCCAAAAGAAAGAAAATGGCTCAAAATGCCAAACAATTAAGAATTTTACAGTGATTAAGGATGAAAAATTAGTAATTTTCTATAAAAAAGAAGAGGAAAACTAAGCTCCATGGCGCCTAAAGCTGCTATGGCACTGCCATTATATGCAGGAAAGACAACATAGGCGGAAGAAGAAGCTATTCCAAACATGATCACGAGTAAAATCCATTTCCTTGGGACTGATGCAATAGCTTAGCAATAAGAGCACAGGCTTACCTTCCAGATGACCCAGATTTGATCCCCAGAATTTGTAATTCCGCTTCCAAGGCTCTTACCCTCCTCAGGCCTCCTGGGACACCAGGCATGCACCTGGTACACAGACAAACATGTAGGCAAAACAGCCGTACACATAAAATAGTAATTAAGACATTTTAAAAAGAAATCTATTTCCCTAAACCCAGCCAAATCTCATGTCACTTCAGCTTGAATTCTCTTGCATTCTGTCCTCGTTAGCCCATTGCCAGCCTGGGGAAGGGACTGTTCTACAGTGAAGGCAAATTCTATTTTTCCTAGAGGCTGATGGTACATTTCACCTCTGCAAAAAAGTCTCTACTGAAAGGAGAGTGGACTTATGTTTTAAAATAGAGCATTTGCTAAGAAATATGGAGCTTACCTGTGACACCCATCCCCCACCTCTGTCCCAACACCCTCCACTGTCCCCAGAGGGTAGAGTTCAAGGCCAGTCTTAACAACACAGTAAGATTGAGACCAGCCCAGTCTATGAGACGCTGTCTCAATAAACAAACAAACAAATGAACAAACCAGGCTTCTGTCAGGACAACAGTTGCTGAATATAGAAACAGTCTCTGTGGCAACACAGAATACTGGCTGTATCATATTATTACATGTTAGAAATTAAATATATTTTTAAGGAATTCAACAGTAGATCCTTTTTATGTAAAAAAAATTCACACATTTACATGTGTCTATGCATAGAAAAACAGCTGAAAGAATGCTCTTCAAAAGTTAGCAATGGTCACCAGTGGTGACACATTTTCCAGGAATGTTTTACATTGTTTGGATTATGCTTAATTCTTTATTTCTGGTTGTAGTGAAATATTAGCTATATGCATGTTGTTCTTACATGGACAATAATCATTTTCTGTAGGAGATTTCTGTTCAATTTTAAATAGGAAAGATCTTTATATGGGAATTTGTATGAGTTGCTGTTTCTTCTACCTTTAAAGACTCCTGTGGAATAAAAACGTATGAGTTTTTAATTTTTATGTTTAGTTTTACCATTTTTTGTTTGTTTGCATGCTGGGTTTAAAGCATGCCCAGGAATTCTTTGACATGCCTATTGAGATGCAGAGGCCGTGTCACTTCTACTTAAACCTGGATGGTTGCTTTGAACAATAGAGTGCGTCAGGAATGGTTCTGTGACTGAGGCTAGGTCTCAAGAGGTCACGCAGCTCCCATCTTGTTCCCTGGAACAGGTGGTTAGAAGCCCCAAGTCTGTGTATAAGAAGTTTCCCTGCCTGAGACCATGTTGAGAAGAAACCCAAGCCATGTCGAGTGAACATATATAAAGCGCTTTAATCAACAGACTAACCCAGTAGCAGTCTTGAAAAGTTGGAGTTCTCAACCATTCCAGTTAGTTCTAGGCATTCATGTCTTCTTAGCTGAGGCATCAGATAAATAATCACAGAACAAAACAAAAACAAACAAACAAATAAAAAGGTCGTTGCTGCCCCACACAGCACAAACATAACAGGGCTGCTGCTGTTTCATGTCATGTCATGTTTCTGAGGTCACGTAAGTACTACACCCATAACTGGAATGTTTTGTCCATAGGATTGTTTTTAATGCCATTGACTTCTTCTTACCTGGACAGCCATACAACTCAAGGGTCATCCTTGAACGTGTCAGAAGACCTGAAGGCTAGAAGATGGAGGGGGTAGGAAGGCATTGAGATACACACACACACACACACACACACACACACACACACACACACACACAGGTCAGAGATACATATCACAAGTCATAGCTCATGTAATGTTAAGGCAAGAAGGCAAAGACTTTGTATCTATTGTTATAGGTAAGCAGGAAAAAGAGGCATCTTGAAGCTGAGCAGTGATGGAGCACATCTTTAATCCCAGCACTCAGGGGCAGAGGCAGGTGGATCTCTGAGTTTGAAGCCATCTTGGTCTACAGAACAAGTTCCAGGACAGTCAGGGTTACAGAGAGAAACCCTGTCTCAGAAAAACAGACAAACAAAATAGCACCTTGAGAATGGCCCAGGTTAGCACCAAGGTTGGGGACATCAAATTCACCAAAGTGAGAGTCAATAATTTCTACCCATCAGCCTGTGGCATTAGGTAAGTTACTTAAACTACTTCCAAACTAAAACCCTCTTAGTCTTGTGTCCCTGTGGGTGATGGAACTGCTGGTGGCTGCTGTCACCCTGCATCATGAAAGTATTGTTCCATATGTGGCCAAGCCAAAACAACACAGTGTCAAACTCCATGTGCAGTTTCTACTAAGATACATTGCTTTTGCATCACCATAAAGTCAAAGCATTGACAATGGAATTCATTAATGCAGGTGACAAATATGCATGGATGATTATAATATTAAAACTCAGAACGGTCACCACCCACATTGAGCCTAAAGTACGCTATGGACTTTGGCTCTTATGTCTCTATGTTGGTTCATCAGTTGGAGCAAATGATGAGGTAATGCAAGAGAGTACAGCAGAGGTGGAGGGGGGGAGGCCAGGTTCAGGGTGACAGTCTGTGTTTCAGAAAATCTAAAACTGTTCCTTAAGCCTATTAATATAAACAAAGATTCTAACTGGGAAAAAAAATCAGACAAGGACTGGGGAGATGACTTAGGGAGTAAAGCTCTTGATATGCAAGCATGAGGACCTGA